TTTTTGTATGGCCGGCCTGATGTAAACTCAAATCGTCTCGTCACTTCACCCGCCCACCAAACCCAGTCGTGTACGCGCATGGATTTCCATTGGCCTACACATCATGCATGCCGGCTCGAGGGATCCACCACCACGTCGGATCGTAACCCACTCACACCACCCACCCAGCAAACCCAGCCTGACATTGAGCCCCACCAGGGCGAATGACCGTGGGACGAGGGGTCCGACAGGAAAAAGGTTAGAAGGGGCCCTGTATCACTATCTGAGTCAAGTGGTGTCAAAAACCATGGCCAGTAAATTAATCATGATTAAATTCTCCAATCCCTTCGCAAGGCTTTTGAGGCTGCATGTTTTAAACAAATTTGCTGACCCACTTCACCCAACAACCTCTTTCGATAACCCTTTCGCAGAGTTTCTGAATGAGCTAATTTTACGTACTGGATCATTTTAAAACGTTATGCTACCTGAGCTTTGGACTTATCAGCAAAGGCAAAGGGAATGATTAATTCTGCAACCACATCTTCGCGAACCTTTCCCCAACCTTTCCCCTGGTTGTCAGGAATGATGTGCTTTAGTACTGAAAACCTCTTTTGCCAACCCTTTCGCAACAAAATTCATCATGAATTTCAGATATCCTTTCTCCAAACCTTTTGCCAAGCTGTCCCCATATATGTACAAAGTCGTACCTTAAAAGCATGTTTATCATGACGTTGCTCATCTAGCCAGGCACCAATTAATGATCATTCGAAAACCGGAGTCCCACCGTTCTCCGTCTTCCCGGCCACGCCCCCGATGGACCACGAGATCCCCAGCCACGCCCCCGATCGACCATGAGACATTTGACCGGAGTCCCACCGTTCTCCGTCTCCCCAGTCACGCCCCCGGACCACGAGACACGGGACTAACCCGAACACACATCGCAGGGATTAGTATGCCTCATGCATGGATCATATATAGCAGGCCATGGGGTAGTCTTTTAAAGGATCCCTGCAAGTCCGGTGGTCCAAGTATTTTTTGGATGCACCTACATGCAGCTCAGGAGGCTCACCATGTGAAGACGCAGGCTTTTGATGCAGCTGCTTGCCTTCCTAGTCGAGGAAGTTAAACTTTCTTGCCCCATAGAAGTTCTTGTCCCATAGAAGTCCGCTTGGGAAATCACCCAGCCAGTGACAGCCACATTCCTGTCAGCCTCTATGGGGATGAGGTTGTGGTCAACCGTCAGGGCGACTCTATTACAGCCATATATCTGAGTCTGACACTTTGGAAACCCAAGCGAGTGAGGTGCACACACTATCAGGTGTTTGCCATGAGAAGTCACCGAATTACATTGTGGCCAATCTTGGGGTTCATTGCGCAATCACTGAACAAGGCCTTTGATGGCTGTGGCAAGTCCGGTTGCAAATTTTCAGTCTCAGAACTGAAGGGAGATTGGGTTTGGCTCAGGAAGGTGCTACGATTAGGGCCATCGTACACAGGCAACCATGTGTGCTTCTTGTGTCACGCTAC